ACAACATTAAGCCAGCATTTTGGTGTTCAGGCAACAACAATAGAGAGCTTTTATGGCTGAACGGTTATTTTACCAAAAACTTATAACACTACCCAACTAGCAAAGTAGTGCTATAAGTGTCCTATTAGGTGTGCCCATTCCGCTTGTATAGGTGTTCTAAGATGGTTTTGCTAATGTTCTTACAGTATACAATGCTGTGTAAGGAATACTGTATAATCATTCTTGCAACTCTAATAGAAGTGATAATTGTTAGTTGGATAAGTTATGTGCTGTGTATCTGTCAATTTGTACGATTGTTGTGTAGTAGTATGAGTGAAGCTGCCACTGTTAGAAATATTGCCTTAATTGCAGTATGGTTTCATTGTGCATCTTTGTTATGTCTGTGAGTCCCCTGCCACTGTCCTTTCTTTTAAGTGTCGTTCATTCTACTGCAGATTTTTGATGGTGAACCCTGTGTCTAGTCATTAATACATTCGTTTGCGTTTGTATATCTTTCAGTTCTGTTTGCGACCACTCGAGTACACCGAATGTGTGCGCTAGTATTGGTATGACGTATGTGTTCATACCGTTGATGAAGTTTTTGGCATTTAATTTTGATTTGAGCAATAGATTGACTCGTTTATAATATTTTTCCCTGATGACACATTTCATTGTTGATCTGCCATTTTCTGTTGTAATATTCCCAAGTACTTATATGTATCAAAATCATCCATGGGATCAATTGAAGGAAATTCGGTACCTTCCAGTTTGTTAGTTTTCTGCCCTTCTGTCAGTAAAGTTTGTGTTTTGCACTTTTCTAGGCCAAGTTCCATTTTTATATCAATAGAGAATATGTGTGTTAGTTCCAGCAGGTGTTTCAGTTCTTATTCGGTCTGAGCATACAGCTTGATATCATCCATATATACTCGTAGTAGCTGTGACAGTGTATATTCAACCTCCTTTCGATGTTTAATTGGGACGCCCTTGCTTGTTCTTCTTAGGACATTCGATAGACGGCTAATGCCCAAGCAAAACCATAAAGGGCTGAATGTTGATGTTAATATGTTCTGCTTCGACAAATCCATCTTTTTCCAAGATAATGAGTTTGGTTTTCCATTTCGTCATCGTTTGTATCAAAGGACTTATTTTATATGTACCTATATTATTATTACTATCATTATTATTATTTTTTTATTATTATTATCATTATTTCCGTTTTTCTTTTCCACGGTGCCTAACCGGTGTAGCGATGGTATGGTTCAAGGATTTCACATCGTCCGGTCCATGGTTCTTTCTACTGTAACTACTGCATTGGAATAAACTCACTCAGCGTAGAGGAAACGCCTGGTCAAGTGGCATGTATTTAAGATGACGTACGTTAGTTGATAGTGGTGTGGTTGTACATCGAGCTCCTGAAGAGATTTGGAGAGTTTCTTTGGGATCACACCCATATTAGACAGTACAATTGACACTACTCTTACTTATTCATATTTCCAAAAGCCATTAATTTCAAAATATAGTTATCTATTTAGAAATTTTGTCTCTGTACGCTTGTTCCAAGCTGCTCTTGTTTGTTATTGTGACATCTAGAGAAGTGCATCTTCATCCTTCTTCTTCTGAATCACTATGTCAGGTCTGTTATGTTGAATTCTCTTGTCTGTAATGATACCCCGGTCTCAGTAGGGGAGACCGGGGCTGGTTGTCACATGGGTTGGTTGTCACAATTGTTAAATTTCAGCAGCTCCGCAAGATGTAGTTGCCTGGCGCGCTACACATCGTTTTTGCGTGCGCGCAGAACACTTGTATTCAGTACGAAAGTTGTCGTTGGTAGATTAAGGTCGCACACACAAAAATAAACAAATCTTCCGACCTGAGAAAATTTCGTTTGCCACATAATTTGTGTTTTCAAGACTACATTTGATAATAAAAAGAACTGTTGGATTTATTTTGCTCTTCAATAATCCGAATACGACTTAACGTAAGTATTGAGTTTGAATTTGTTAATTTAGTGACGCTATCTAACCTTAAAAATTAATTATCTAGTGGGGCAGATTGTCTCAAATTAGCGGGGGTTCGAAATTTCAAAAGGAAGACTGAGAAGGGCAAAGCGCCGCCTGGCGTACTTTTAAGAGCAGCTAGATTAGTGAGATTAGGATCCTCAATAAGAAAAGCGGCAGCTGACTTCAATGTAAATTACCGTACTTTAGCAAGATACTGTAAGAAAATTCCAGAGTCTGAATTATTTGATGATCGAGTTGTTGCGCCGTCAATTTCAGTTGGCTACATCAAAAATCATTTAGTATTTGAGCCTGAACTTGAAAATCATATAGTGGAATATGTACTCAAAGCATCTGATATTTATTTTGGATTATCACTCAAGGAAGTACGTGGACTGGCATATGAATTTGCTAATGCTAATTCCTTGAAAATGCCGGAAAATTGGAAGCTCCATAAAATAGCTGGTCCTGACTGGTTTAGTGCGTTTCTAAACCATCATCCTGTACTGTCTATTCGCAAACCGGAAGCAACTAGTTTAGCAAGAGCCAGTAGTTTCAATAAAACGAAAGTCAACGCATTTTTTGATAATTTAGCTTTAGTTATGGAAAACATAAATTTGAGCCTCACGAAATCTGGGACATGGACGAAACAGGGATTACAACTGTCCAAAGACCCGACCGCGTTGTTGCCAGAAGAGGATTCAAACTGGTTTCATCAGAAAGAGGAACTCTTGTTACTTTAGCAAGCGCAGTTTCAGCTATTGGAAATTCCATACCTCCTTTTTTCATTTTTCCACGGGTACATTTCAAACCACATTTTTTTAATTCAGCTCCTTCTGGCTCACAAGATTCTGCAAACCCATCAGGTTGGATGAAAGAGTCACATTTCTAGGAGTTTCTTAGATTTTTTCACCTTCATGTGAAAAGTACTGTGGAAAGACCTTGCCTGCTTTTACTAGATAACCATGGATCACATCTGAGTATAGAAGGATTGAATTTTGCCAAAGCAAATGGTATTGTCATGCTCTCTTTTTACCCTCACTGTTCACATGAACTTCAACCTCTTGACCGCGCCGTTTTTGGCCCTTTTAAGACATATGTAAATACTTCCTGCGATGCTTGGGTTTTAAATAATCCCGGTAAGACCATGACTATATACGACATACCTTCAGTGGTCTTTGTTGCATACCCCCTCGCATTTACTCCCAAAAATATACAGTTCGGATTTCGGGTGTCGGGTGTGTTTCCTTACAATAGAGATATTTTCACGGATAAAGACTTTCTTGTGAGCTCTGTCACTGATAGGCCAGATCCAGGTATCTTGAACGAAGCAATAACTGGATCAAACCCGGAAACCTTGAACGAAAAGGAAGTTGGGCCAAATTCAACCATCTTGAACGAAGATGAAACTGTCTGATAAATATTAACACGCAGGAAGCAATAGATAATATACGAGAGAGCAAATCAGCTAATCAAACTAATTTTGATGATTCCTGCTGTAGTAGTTTAGTAAGGCTGCATACGGGAAATACGAGTCTTGTACTTCCAGAAAGTGTAAGACCTTATCCAAAGGCATCGGCAAGAAAAATGAATCGAGTTTCCCGTCGTAAACGAGGGAGTGCAATACTCACTGACACTCCAGTAAAAGACGAATTAGAGAAATAGAAAAATAAAATCTGGAACAAGAAAAAGAGGAACAGGGACACAGTGAAAAGAACCGTTTTTGATTCAGAAAAAAAAATTAAGAAATCTAAAAAAATTGAAAAACGCTAGTCCTGTTCAGATAATGAAACTGATGTAGAAGAATGTTTTTGCTTGATTTGTCTTGAACCATTTTCTAACAGCGCGCCAAATGAAGAATGGGTGAAATGTTCATCGTGTAATGGTTGGTCTCATGATGCGTGCACTGATGGACGCGAACTTTACATATGTCATAATTGCGATAGTGACTAATTGTAAAAAAAACTCTTCTACTTCTTTCTCATAAAGATTTGATGCTTAATAAGCATTTTTTGTAATAAAAGTATGATATCATAATTTATTAATGATCTAAAATACACGTGACAACCAACCCCAAGCTATGTGACATCCAGCCCCAGCAAGGGGCAAGTTGTCACATTTGTTTCTGTATTTTGAAACATTTTAATTTAATATTGTAAATTATTTTACAGCCTTATCGATTTTACATAGTGTTCCCAAAGGATGAACCATATTATTTATGCACCAAATATGTGAATATAACTCTTCAGATCGAATAAAAAAAAGAATTACTGAAAATTGTGACAACTACCCTCGGTCTCCCCTACATTTCATATTCCTCGTTTTCTATTTTTATTATTATTACTATTATTCGCTTGCTCTTAGATATGTATCTGGTATATGTTAGAATCATATGTCAACTTTATCAAGCGTATCTTCTTTATATCTGTTTCAGTTACTGGTGAATGACCTTGTCCACATTATCTCATCATGGCGTCTGATGTATTCCTTATTTGGGCATCCTTCAATAATGTGGTTTATAATTTCTATTTGTGGTTTGCATAATCTGTAGTTGTGTTCGGATCTTTAATGATGTTTTTGCGGTACCTGGTGTTTATTGTTTGATTGCTTGTTAATTATTATTATTAATATTATTATACTTATTATCATTGTTACTATTATTCTTTAACTTAGTTCAATACTTTCTTCACTCGCTCGGTTCGCACACCATTGATACACCAAACTCCACACCACAATTATTACATTACTAGATGTTACTGATTTGGAATCGCTGAAATTCGAAATGTTAGCACGAGTATCCACATCACGGTAGCGGCGATATAGGAATCCAAATGGTATCCTTTCTTCCTAGAAGTTTTAGTGACACCACCAGAATCGGAATCGAAATCGAAACTATTGGAGTACTTATTTGTTTTGGGACGACTCGTTCAGAATCAACCAAACTCTAGTATAGGATGAGGCTGTCCTACCATACCTTGTTAGTCATTAGTAGGTAGCAGTGAAGCACACACCATATCAATTTACCTTTCTTTATACAATGAAATTCTGCTTTCCCTTCTCTTTCCAACTCTCTGATTTCCTTCTCATCTTTAATTAGCTTTTCAGCAACTGCAAATGAAATCTTGGCTTTGTTCTCTTCTCCTAGTGCTCTATAGCACACAGCCATTTTACAGTAAGCTGAGCCCTTGAGATCATCTGTAACTTGCTCTTTGAGGACCATTCGCAGATCCGACAAAGCTAAACTGTACTTTTCCAATTTCATTAATGTATTTGCTCTTGCCCATAACGCGAGCAGTAAAGTTTTGTTTTGATCGTATTCTGGAAAGGATGAAAAGCAAATCGTAAGATTACCTAACAATAGAATGAATTACTTTACCATGTAAGATTTCTGTTTTAATTAACGATGATTACAAGAGAACGCAGTGACGCATATAAAGGGGTTCCGATTACTTCAGATGTAGCTGCAGCTTTCATAAGGGATGTAGTCCAATAATACAGGGTGTCCGCAAAGTTGGGGTTTTCCTTTTCAGAAACAACTACCCTTGATATAACAAAGGTAATGTGTAGTGAAACGAGGGCGACCAAGTAAAAAAAAATAAAGGAAAAAGTATTCACTCTCCAGTTGACGAGAAGGGCTAAGTACGTCTCTGCCCGAAATCATACCGCTCCAACAGAAAATGAAATCAGATGATGCGCTACCGAGCAGACGCAGAAACCACATTGATTGTCTTACACTTAATGGCACATCTTCTAACAAGGAAGGCAAAATGTTGCGTAAAAAGTCTAGGTATTGCATCCCGTCCAATCGATTTGGGAGAATAAATTGTCCAATGAGCATACCGTTTACCATGCCAGCCCAAACATTCAACGAAAATGTTTGTTGAAAATGTGCCCGACGGACAGTGTGCGGATTTACTGACCAAACATGAGTGTTGCGAAAGTTATTCACCCCATTACGCGTAACGTAGATTCGTCTGTCACCAATATGCACTTCAAAAAGTCCGGATTATTGTCATGTTGATGCAACAACCACTCACAAAACCGCACTCTTGCTGGAAAATCGTCAGGTTGAAGAGCTTGTACACGTTGGACGGAAAACGGATACAGCCCCTCTTCTCGGTTCCCTTAAGACATTGGTGTATATGGTACTCAGAAAAATTGCTTATGTTTTCAAGATCTACACGTCGTGTAAAGGAAACCCCCAACTTTGCGGACACCCTGTATTGTGAAAGCGCCTGAGCTGTAGTTTACTTATTTCTCTTAAAATTTGCAAAGCAGTGCGTTCTTCGCATGTCTCAAATCTGTGAAATAGGATGCTTTGGAACTGGAGGGATTTTAATACTTTAACGATGATAAAGTATTTCTTATTATACTAAGTGACATATAAATCCGAACAACCAGGTTAAATGGTTTTATTTTAATAAAATTTTGTATAAGTACTTAATGAAGCATAATAAGTAAATGATAAAAATTTCAAAATGATTGCACTGCTTTAAAGCCCTTTGACCTTTAATAATGTGTGGATGCACCCTGATGTGCTACGCATTCTCCAACGCGCATAGGCATGCTTCTGATCAGGTGGTCAATGTCCTCCTGTGGTATCTCATTCCAGGCAACCACCAACTCCTCTCGAAGTGCTTCTAGAGTCTGAGGAGGACGTTGCAAATTGAGCAATCTCCTACCCATCATATCCCACACGTGCTCAATTGGGGATAAGTCGGGAGATCTTGGTGGCCATGGTAACAATGTGACATCATTATGTTGACAGAAGTCTATTGTGACTCTTGCAACATGTGGTCGGGCATTATCTTGTTGAAAAGTTGGATCTGCCAGGGTGTCAAGATAGGGTAAAAGATGGGGTTCTAGAACTTCATGGATATAACGCTGCGCGTTCATGTTACCTCTGATGAAGATTGAAGGTGACCTGGAACCATAAGCTATAGCACCCCAAACCATAACTCCAACAGTGTGATGAACATGTCTTTCAACAAAAAACTGTGGATTCCTCCTTTCACCACGTCGCCTTCTAACCCTGGCACGACCATCGTGCATGCCTAAACAAAATCGAGACTCGTCACTAAAGACAATACTGTTCCATTCCTGATCCCAGAGTGACCGTTGTCTGCACCACTCAAGGCTATTACGTCGGTGTTCTCGAGTTAAAGGGAGGACCCAGTGTGGCCGGTATGAAAGTAAGCCAAAACTTCTCATTCGTCGGTAAACACTTCGCATGCCAATAGGTCTTCCGTGTTCTGCAAACCATTCATTATTTGCAATGGACCTGGTAGTGGAGAAACGGTCCCTTAAGGCCAATAATCTTAGGCGGCGATCTTCACGGTCTGTTGTTCTACGACGGCGTCCAGTGCCCCTTGCTCTTTGCGTACGGCCTTCTCGAAGCCATGCCTGACAACACCTAACCACAGTGTCTACACTTCTTTGCACTCTAACTGCAATTGCCCGAAAAGAAAGTCCAGCTTCCCGAAGTCCCACTATACGGCCCCTATCAAACTCACTAAGTTGACGAAATCGTACAGGTCTCCGTACTCTAGGCATTGTAACCGATCGTAAAGGATGTCAAGAACCAAAATCCGCCAACGTTGATTCTTTACTGCGGCTGAAATATTCATTTTTAGAGCGTTAGTGAATTAAAAAAAAGCAGTATAAAAACCGGAATGTCCAACTGATAAGGCTGAAAATTTTTTCACTTGTTATTTACAGTAAGATAAATACGTATACATTCACCAACTTTTATTAAAATAAAACCATTTAAACTGGGTGTTCGGATTTATAAGTCACTTAGTATACTTCAAACAGCTACGGATTATTCAGAAACACCATGTCATGTTAATCTTCTTTTTCGGCGCTATGATGTTTTCAAATTCGTAGATGATGGCTTTGGATATTTTAATTCTGTTTTCAAAGTTTTTATGGGCATAGTAATTTGTGAGGGGTCACACGATATGCGAAAAGAAAAACGTTACGTTGACGCTTAGAAAGATTTTTCTGAGATACACACACAACTTTCCTGTAATATTTTTTTGATCAAATCGCTCTCTAAATGATAAAAAAATTACGAAAGTACAAGGATAACATTTTACGCACTTTCATCACTAGATCGGAGATCCACTCCAGGATTGGCTTCATACGAATATCCGTCACGCAATTCAACCTCCTATCTCTATTATTTGTGCTTTTAATAAAAGTCGTATGGAATATTTAAGCAAAAAAACATTAGTATAAAGTAGACAAAATCCGAAAATTTATATTTATATACAGGGTATTCTATTTAAAATAAGCAATTTGGTATTTGCTTCCGGTTCAACCGAAAGCACCACCATCTTGAAAATATCCTAGCCGAATTTCTTTACCATCAATTATAGTAAAACTCCAAATTCTCATAACTGTCTTATGTCAACTTTTTGAATAATCTATCGCTGCATTTCTATGAGGGGCCACCCTGAATTTATGAAAACATTCCATGTTGATTTTAAAATCGCCTTGTGATATCGAAATCTGCTGTTTTTATAAAGTTCTTATCATTAAAAAAAGGTACTACCTGTCTTCGGTGCCCGAAGTATGCTCTGACTGTAGCATATTAGAGCCTTTTGAAAGTCTTTTTCCAAGTATAAGATGTCGCCCTCCAATTTTTTGCATTTTGCTACTTCAGCATCTTTCTTCCTATAAACTTCTTGTACGTTGGATAAAACGGATTCTACCGGATGTTTCGTCTAAAAAATTAAATATATCCATTGGGCATCAATTTCAATAATGTATAATATGGTACACAAGAAAATATCACAAGTTCCTATAAAAAATATCCCGCATGGTTACAGGTCCGTAAAGTGACAGTAATTCAACGATATTTTGACACTATAGTAACCTATTGTGGCCTCACGGATAATTTTAATAGGAAACAGTGAACTCATTTGGATCACCAGATATCAAATAACTCCAGCACAAGGTTGCTAATTTGTTCACCCTATGTAATAGTGTCTGAAAAATTATATTTTTGGAAATGTACTAAAAATTTACTCTTATTTAACGTCGATAAAATGAACCAGTTTCATTACAGTTTTTTGAATTAAGAAACCAGATTCAATATATCGGTTTCATTTCGTAATGATCAAGTAATTTTGAAAACAGATTCATGATAGCGTCTTAAAATATCCATGATATAAATGTTTAGCTTAATTAAGTTTGGGGTTTTATAGGGGGAAGCAACCTTAAGACGGATGCTCTTGTCGCTCGACATCAGCAAACCCTCTGGCACTGACTCCATTCCTATTGTACTGAAGAGATGTGCAGGGGAGCTTGTTCCAGTGCTTTCGCGTCTCATCCAGATAGCTCACAAATCTCGTACTTTCCCACAAGAAAATGATCTGAGACCGACCCTTACAGCTTTCTGTTATCATCCAGGGTGATAGAGAAGTGCACAATAAGGGAGTTTTTAGAGTATCTCGATCGTCACGGCCTAATTAGCGACAGGCAGTAAGGCTTTCGTCGCTAGCTATCAATGGGCGCATCCTAGCTTACTGTCATGTGGTGAAGCTCATGTCGTTGCTATTGGCATTACGAAAGGCTGCTGTGGCGTGCTGCTCACCTATGGAAACTTCCATCGTATGCCTCCCAGAGAAGCTTTGCAGATGGGTGGATGAGTTCCTCTCCAAGATAGCCGTCATAAACGACGGTTTCTCCTCTTCTTCCGACAGTACCAACTTTCCTACTGATGGGTCATGGCCCAAACATTATTTCTATTACATATCAACGGCCTCCTCTCTTGTGCGATCAATCCATCCACAGCCGATGACAGCACTCTACGCTCGTGCATTCAGTGTGGCAAGCCGATCTCAGCTGACGAACTGGAGAGAAGAAGATTAATAGCGACTTCTTCTCTGAAAAAAGGAGGAAGTTATCAATGCTTGGAAACGCAACAATGCTTCCGCAAGTGCTTCCAAAGCGAAGTATTGTACCTTTACTAACAAGAAGCGCCTTAGCGCTCATCCGGTTCCGGTTCCGATGAATGGCCCAGTTCTGCCTGAGAGCTATTCATTTTTTTTTATATCGAAATAGCCGCGCAGCCAGAAGCCTAAATGCGGGAACACCGCGGCTGCTATGATGACCCCAAAGAAATTTTGTTAATACGATTTTTGAACTGCCTAAGGTTAGTAGAACTGGGAAAAGCTTCCTCTTGTAGATTGTTCCACAATCTAGACACCCTCGGGACAAAGGAGCGGTCGTATCGGCCAGTTCTGGATGTACGAAGTTTGACACGGTTAGGATCTGAACAATACTCGTGGCTAGGCCTTATCTGGGCCTTGTATAGAGTGAGAAGGTCATCCGGAGAAAAGTACTTCTTAGCCCTAAAGAAATAGCCTAGCTTTTTCCCAGCAGCTGCAGCTATTGACGAGATGTGTTCGTGCCAGATCAGGTCCTCGGTGATCTGGACTCCGACCAGCCGAAATGAATGGCTCTTTGGTAGAACTCGGCCGTCCATCGAAACTGTATGAGCGCTAGGACGCTTTTTGTTCGTCAAAGTACAGTACTGGGTTTTGGAAGAATTGAACTGTACAAGATTGTTGCGTCCCCAAGCAGTGATAGCCTCCAGGTCTCTTGTCAGAGAAGAAGTCGTCGCTAGTCTTCTTTTTTCCAGCTCAGCGGCAGAGATCGGCTTGTCACTCTGAATTCCTGCATGTAGAGTGCTGTCATCAGCGAAGCGGTGGATTGGGTTGATCGTGCAGGAAAGAAGGTCGTTGATATGTAAGAGAAACAGTGTTGGAGCCAAGACCGATCCCTGGGGAACACCCGCATTGACGTTGTGGGATGAAGAGGAGAATCCGTCAATTACGACGGATATCTTGCGGCCAGAGATAAAGTCAGCCACCCATCTGCAAAGCTTTTCTGGGAGGCCATAGGATGGAATTTTGCTTAAGAGGGCAGCGTGCCACAGCTGATCGAACGCTTTCGTGATGTCAAGAGCAACGATGTGAGCCTCATCATGAGACTGGATGAGTTTACTCCACAGTTGCGTGACGTAAGCTAGGAGGTCCCCTGTGGATCGTTGATGGAAACCGTACTGCCTGTCGCTAATCAAGCTGTGACGTTCGAGGTAGTCGGATTCATAAGATATCTGGAAGAGACGCGAAAGAACTGGAGCAAGCTCCGCTGCACATCTCTTCAGTACAATGGCAGGAATCAAGTCTGGACCAGAAGCTTTGTGATGTTGAGCGACAAGAGCACTCGTCTTACGGTCTTATGCCTGAATGTTACCTCCCGCATAGTGTGGGGAACCCTTTGAATTGACGGCACTTGGGCGTTGGTGGGGACGTCCATGGTGGGCATGGCAGCAAATATCTTGGCTAGCACTTCCGCCTTGGCCTTTGAGTCGAATACAATAGTTCCATCCTGACACGTAAGTGGTGGAAGGCTACTGTGTGAGAAGTTCTTTGCAATCTGCTTGGCCAGCGTCCAGAAAGAGCGACTGCCATTGCGACTTGCCTAACTTTTATATCATGCTGGTTTTTGGCATTGGGAACCGCTTCGTTATATTTGTTTCTGGACTCGACGTCGGCTTGTCTGTTCTCTACAGTGGGGTTTTGTAAGTAGGTTCTGTGTGCCTTGATCTTCTGCTGGCGAGCAGTGTCACACGATTTGTTGAACCAGCCGTTGGACCCTGGTTTAGGAACTTTCACTATGTGAGGGATGTATTCCTCCATTCCGACGTGGATAATTTCGGTTATCGAAGAACAGACCGTCGACGCATCCGCGTCAGTGAAACAGACATCTCTCCAAGGAAAGCTAGAGAAGAAGTGTCTGAGCCCCTCTCAGTCGGCATGTCCGTAATGCCAAGTTCTGCGGCCTGTACGAGTTTCTGCTGCCACAGCAGCTTCTGACCGAAACCTAACCTCCACAACACCGTGATCTGAGTTACCCAGGGGGGACAGGACAGCAGTGCTATAGGGGACAGGATGCGTGGTCAGAAAGAGATCCAGCAGGCTACTGGCGTGTGACGAGACGCGGGGGAAAAAGTAGGGCTCGTCACCAGCTGGGTCAGCCCTTGAGTAAGAGCGAACGCTTCGACTGCACGACCTGCTGCATCGATCTTATTTGAGCCCAACCAAAGCTCATTATGGGCATTGAAATCACCGAGAATAACTACCTCTGAAGCGGGGTGATTGATGTTCAGGAAGTCGATCTGGACGGCGAGGTATTCGAGTAGGTCATCCCAGTTATGGTTCGAGGGAAAGCGATAAAGGCAGCAAATAAATTTGGGTGATGTTTTGGAGTTGAGGCGAAGCCACAGAATGTCCTTCCGGTCTGATTCCAAAGAAAGATCCCTGGAGCAGGAAAGACTGCTGCGGACAAAAGCCACAACTCCCCCGTTCTTTCTCAGATTGGAGTGCACCTCGTAGTTTGGGAAGTTGAGATGGTTAATCAGTGCAGTCTGTGAGGTTTTTGTCTCCGCCAAGAGGCGGGACGATTAGATTGCAGGTAGTGATGAACAGCATCAATGTTGCTGTTAATCCCGCAGATGTTCGAAAAACAAATTTTATCTTCGATGTTGTTCCCTGGACCCCACCCTCCACCCGGACATTCCGAGAGTGGAGTGAGTTTACGTCCGGAGTTCTTAGTGCTCGAGGGATCCATCATCATTAATTTCTTTGTTTTGGAAGATAATCGACTGCATAGCTTAGTGTGGAAACATGCGGACATTTATAAGACACCCTGGGAAAAGCTAGCGGGTGGTACCGCCTCGGTCGACTGGTTCTTGTCTACCACCTTCTTTTTACGTGTTAGTGATATTAAATAGACCTAAAGTGGCCCGTTGGCGGACTTGTACCGCCACCCGGCAATCGGTACTGAGGTATTCCTTAACGCGTGCACAATCACTTGGACGGGAAGAAGTTGTATACTGGATACAACAACTTCCTGAACAAGCATTTGCCACGGCCCTCGCTCAGTAGGGGGCTTGCGACTGGTCGGAAATAGGATCACCGAGGACATGATTTAACATGAACTCATCCCTCAATTGCAATAGCCGGTGGGAAAAAGCCAAGTTATTTGATTAGGCACTTTTCTCCAGTTCCCCACATAACCTCTTCACTCTATACAAGGCCCAGATAAGACCTAGCCTCGAGTACTGCTCACATATTTGGGGTGATCCGAGAAGATTGTCCATACTCGATGTTGTTTAGAGGAGAGCTGGTCAAGTTTAATAACGGTCAGTATCGGGAGGCTTTCGCACCGACGACACAGTGGTCTAGAACACCAAAATGCTGACGAAAAATACAATTTATACGAGGCGTGTCCGTAAAATAAGTTCCACAAATTTTTTTCATATCAAAAAATTGGTATAATTGCAAAGAAAATACATTTTTGGAAAGTTCATTCTTTCTTTTATTTTTCTACATAATCGCCGTTGCGTTCTATGCATCTCTGCATTCGAGGCACCCACTTCTTCAAATCAGAGTCATAGAACTCTGCCGCCTGTCCGTGTAGAAAACTAACAACCGCGTTTTGCACCTCTTCATCTGTCTGGAATTGGGTTCCGCCAAGGTTTTTCTTCAACTCAGGGAAGAGATGGAAGTCACTTGGTGCTAAGTCTGGGCTGTAGGGTGGGTGAGACACCATTTTCCATCCAAATCTTTCGATGAGGGCTGTGGTTCGATTGGCGGTGTGCGGTCGGGCATTGTCATGGTGAAAACGCACTCCTTTCGTCAGCATTCCTCTT